CTTTTTACTTGGATAATTTCAATTCAACGATTTTTATTAATTCTGCTGTTATTTCATTTAGTGCTTGTGTTGATTGATCATTTTCTTTGGTTCCAATTCTTCACTTCGCGCTATTTTGTATTCATGGATATCGCCGCGTTCTTTGGCATATGTGTTTGGATGGTCCCTTTCGCTTACTTTATTTCGCTAAGTGCTAATGACAATGCTTTACCATCTTTCGGTTCGTTTATGATTCTTGTTAATTAATTGTATATTTTAATTTCATGATCAATCTGAGAGTCTTCACGTGTTTTTTTTAATTTTCAATTTCAGAGCCAAATATACATAATACTGACTTCGCCCTTATACGAAATAATAAGGGAGGAATCCTAAAAAATTTATTAAATTTCGTCCTACAAAAGAAGGATGAATTGATTCCAATGGCATCTGATGTTTCATCTTCCGCCCTACATTCGCGGAAGAGCTTATAGTCATTTCATATTTGATATTGAATTTTATTACCGCAATTTCACTGAATTATATAAAAAGCAGTTATCATGTGACTATATTTTAATGCATCGTACTACAATAACAGGATTAGTTTTTTGTTTTTTTTTGGTCAAGAAATAGCTTGCAAGAATTGTTTATGTAATATATTGATAATGATAATAATAATATAATAATAATAATAATAATAATTAAAGGGTATAGAATAATTTCTTTTTTATTATCATACTATAACATCGAGTTATCTCACGATAATACACATTGATACACTGGAATATATTTTTGAGAAGTTAGGAACGTTTAAAATCATCAACCGGTGTTTTCGAAGACAAAGTTTTACTGTTGTCATCAGGTATCAAAGGATTTGTATTTGGATACTTTTGTTCCAGAATTTTTGCTAGATGGTCGCCAGCTAAAGCGAACACCATTCCACCTGGTTATAAGATAAAATCGTAAATGTAAAGAGTTAACATAATTTACTTAATTTGAATGAAATTATATATACAAACCTAACCCAAGATAAATGCGTGTACGCCTTGGTAATGATTTGAAAGATTGCCAGAATGATTTGACTTTTTGTTGTGGTTGGGACATCGGGAATTTTTTTCCGGATTATATGATTATAAAAGATCTAAAAGTGTTGAACTCTTAATAATGTAACCTATACATATCAAAGTAACCATACGTATTAAAAATTGCCAGGTTAATACGTATATATATGCTATTAATAAAATTCATAGCATATATGTGTGTTAAAAGTGATATTTCGATTTTATTGGTCAATTATCACGTGCACATGTATGATAAATTATTAGTATGTATACTCTGTACGTATTCTACATTTTCATTTCGATGTCTGCTAAACAATTCACTCAGAAAGCTCACGAAAGTGACGTTTTGGACGGCTTCCTCCTGGTACGACCTGTATGGGTTGACGATGAGACCGTCAAAGCTTGCAAAGGTTGCGAAGCATCCTTTAATACTTTAAGACGAAAAGTAATTACTAGCCCATTTTCTCCATTAATCTGTTGACAATTTTATTATGTTTATAAAGCAAGAGAAATTTTCACTATAAAGTGACATAACATGTAGTCTCGCTAATAACGGCAACTAGTTGTTTGTTTTGTCCCTTGAGCTATTAATGATTTAATTAACCTCATTAAAGCACCTGTTGTCACTTATTTTTGATCAACTAGCATCATTGTCGTCAATGGTAAGTTATCACAAAAATTCAAATTGTTAGTCCACAATTATTATCGGCCTAATATATTCAATTATTCAATATTCAATTATTCTTTTAGTGGGAACATATTCTGTCAAGAATGCACCTCAAAAAACATTGCATTACCTCAATTAGGTTATTTAAAACCAGAACGTGTTTGCAGTGGATGTTTTGAAATCGCATATCTTGTCGGATATGTTATTTCAAATGATAAATCAACCCAGGTAATTTCGTAGTTGATTAAGCGGTTACATTTATATGTTCTAATAATAAAATTCTATGATGTTTTTTTTCACGATTTATCATATCCATGAAATAGACACACGGTGCTCGAGGGTTGCTTGACATTGTTGAACGTGGAAATGGTAAATAATTACGCGTGACACTATTTTCGTTTGGTAGTGTAAAACAACAAATG